TCCCCCCCCCACAACCACATAATATATTTTGGATATGGTAGAAGGCGGACATGACGAAGCAACTCCCGGCAAGGTCAGCAAAAAAATGTTTCTTTAAAAAATTTAAAAAAACCAAGGCGAATTTTTGGCGGATGCTCTGATTTAGTTTGCTCCATTCCCACCAAACATCTATCGTCCTTATCTCACCTCCTTTTCCTTATATTATGTCACACCCAAGTAACATTCCAATCTACAGCATTTTATATCATGACCTATTGTGTTGTAAGTTCGGTGAGACTCATTTAATAAAAATTAGACTAAATGTATTCCTGTAAAAAGACGCACATCAAAGAGATAATAATGATTTATTCATGTTGAAACAAAGGAAGAAACGAAAACGGAAAAACCAAAAACAGAGTGAGAAAAAGAAGAAATAGGATGTACTTTAAGCCACACCCTCCAGTCACCCGCCCTGTGAAGATACTTCCCAGGAACCGGGCCTCTCCACGAGGTACTTATTAATTTGGTCGCTTTTAAGCCCAAGGGGGCTATCCCCCCCAAAAATGCCGTTTTGAGAAAATCGAAGGTGAAGTTTTTGCCCCTTGTTCAGTTTATTAAAAAGTCAAGGACAGTTTCCTCTATAATCAAACAATTATACACACCAATGAAACCAATTCTTCTATAGGTACGGAAACGCCCACTTTTGGTGTAGGTCAAGATTCCTGGGAACCCCCGAAATTTGGTTTTCTCCAGCTTATCCTTAAAAGCGACCATTTACAATAATATCCTCTTGCACGTAATCGTTAAATGTCGAGGGGAAGTAACATTTTCGGTCAAGAGCTATGTGGGTGAATTCAGTGTTGGTACTATTAGTTTATTCTTTTGAAGGACATATTCGTCATCCAGCCAAATTTTGCGTAGTCTGCCCCTGTCCTTGTATCCTGAATCTTCTGGGTTTTATGTCCGGGGGTCCGAGATAGTCGATTTGGGGATATTCTCATCAGATGACCGAACCACTTGATTCTTTGACGTTTTATATGATTCATGACCGACTTCATCATTATTAAATTTCAGACAGTAACACCAGTAAAGCTCCTTTCCCTTAAGTACCCACATTACCTAAAGTTCCAACACATTTTAGTAAACGTTTTAAAGCACTTGCAACACAATAAG